TCACAAGCAATGAGGAAAATAATACGTGGGGAACACACCTGGAAATTTTAAAGTTGCACACACACACACACAGAGAGAGAGAGAGGGAGAGAGAGAGAGAGAGAGAGAGAGAGAGAGAGAGAGAGAGAGAGAGACAGAGAGAGTGTGTTTGGGTGTAACAACAATGAATAATATAATAATATATATCAAGAAAGATAAAACTCAGTATACTTTCTTCAAAACCTGGAACCAAAAGGGATTTGCTTTCAAAGTCTTGAAAACCCATCCCCTTGTTTAACCTTCTTTTGAACAGTCCCCTCTTCCCTACTAGTCTCTGGCTTCTCAGACACAGATTCAGACATATCCTGGTCAAGTCATCATAATGCAAGCAGAAGGGAGAGCCCACAAAGAGATGTGACCCTGTCCTGTGGCAACGCTTGGTGTGGGAAGTACCAACACCAAACACTCAGCTTCTCTCAAGAAGGATCCCACTCCTTCCCTGGAGTTCATCAATATTGCATGCAATTGCTGTGGACTGTGGAAGAAGGCAGCCCCTTATAAATGCTAACCACTCATTTCAGGGACTTGCAGCATGGCCAGTAGATGGTAGTAAATAATTGTATGGATCAAAATAAAATCAATTATCATGCAAGTAGTGTAGGTGTGTCTACGGGAGCTGCTTAATTTTAAAAGACAAGACAGGAAGGCTTGTGTGAGCATATGTATGTGTTTGTGTTAAATAAAGCAAATCGGTATCCCAAAGAGACTGAACTTCAGGGTCATTGAAGAATATATAAAAATTCTGTTGCTTTCTGATATTAGCTCAAGAATATGAAGTTGTGAGATGGACTTAAGAACAGGAATCGAAGGCTTGGCATCATCTTGGACATTGCTACAACTTCAAGCTTCCGCATCTTGTCTTTTATTTTTTTAATCCCTTTGAAATATAAGACCCTCTTTGCCAACCTGAGATGCCTCCTATCAAGGCATTTCACAGGTTGGAGGCTTGATCTGAAAACGAGGAGGACATTCACATTGCACAAATGCCAATTTTACAGACAAGTCTACCTGGAGGTAAAATTTAGAAAGCACTGGAGAGAACTATTCAGGCCCTCGGGTAAGGTCACCTGCCCACAAATGAGTTCCATTCACCTGATGTAAAGAGAGGTCAGATTCCTGAGAGCTGTCCCCTGACCTTCCCACGTGTGCATACACACACACGCATACACATACACACACATATGCACACACATGTACACACACGAGTGCACACATATGCATGCACATGAATGAACGCACAAATAAATAAATTGACAAAATTTTTTAAAAAAATGTTCAAACTCTAAAAAGGGAAAATACCATCTATTTACAGGTTTTTTTCAAAGGTCACTCCAAAGTAGTAGGAAATCACATTTCTCAAATACATTGAGCCCTCGAGACCCTACAATATTTACCAAAGTTGCCAGGCCGGATACCACCCTGAACATGTCACTGTTCAAGTCCATCCTCCCAGCTACGCCGAGAAATCCCAGAGAGTACTCTAGTGTCCATTTTACCTCTTGACATAGGCTCAGAAGGGTGGGCTAAACTGCCCAAGTTCACACAGCCAACACAGGCACAGACAGAAAATGGCCCTTTTCAGTCCATTGCTAACCAGGAATCTGCCCTGCAAAGCGTTTTAAGGTTTCCCGTGGGCCCTGATTCATAATCCCACAACCAGTGTGTTGAGGGAAGGAAGGCGTTGGGGTGAACTAAAGGAAGCAGCAGAAGTTTGCTTTCATGATTACGGTTTTCTCTTGAACTCGGCTTCCTTATTCCCAACCAGGACTTAGAGGTAGAAGGCACCTCCAGGCTCCATGAGGTCAGCTGTTCCTAAAAGGACAGGCATCCTGAGTCCCCCAGGGAGAATCTTTCCTGCTGCCTCCAAGGCTGGGAGAGTGGTGACCAGCACCTGACTCTGTCCTAACTCATCAGGGCTGTGGTAGAGACCAGCCTTGCTCGGGAAGAAAAAAAAAAAAGCAGGTCAGGAAAGGCACTAGCAAGGCTGCTGGCAGCCTCTCCCCAGGCTGTCACTGCTGGGGCTGCAAGCGACGTGATGGAGTGTGGGTGTTCTGGGACACAGCCTCCTGCTCGCCTCACGCTTACAGCGCGCTCCGGAGAACCCCAGGCACTTGGAAGCTGGTGTAGCGATCTCTCAGAGGGGCTGAGAACCCACACACGGCCACGGGCAGCTGTCCCACGACTGCGATACCAAAGGCAGGGTTTTGGGTTGTTGAGTTCAAATCCCGACCGCCGCACTAACTAGAAGTGTTAGCGCGTTTCGCCTGGTTTCTGCCTGGCCCTGTGTCTCAGTTTCCCCGTCTGTGAAACAGAAGGGTTGTAGGAGCTTATCTATAAAAATCCTACTACCCCGAGTTACTGTGGCTGGCCATTCTAACCCAGTGCTCCCTGCAACGCGAGACTCACCTTCCTGGGCCAGCCGAGAGGGATCCACACAGCGACGGGATGAGTGCAGGGTGACCGGCCACTGTCTCTTTCCGATCCCGGGTCCAAGCTGAGACCAGGAGATCCAGATCCTGGCAGCCGTCCCCCGACTAGCCTCTTACTTTCCGCCGCACTTTCTTTTTCCCCTCCGGGGCTCCTCCCCCGCCACCGCGCGATTGGCCCCGGGATCCGGCCACAGGCTCCACCCGCCTTGTTGGCTCGCGCTCCGCCCGCGAGCCGGGCTTCCCAAGGGTGGGGTGGGGGCGGCACGCGGGCCAGTCCCGCCCGCTGCGAGGAGGAGTCGCACGGGGCCCGCCTGCGGGCGGATGCCGGGCTGCGCTGGGTGCCCCCGCGTGGGCCAGAGGTGCCGGGGCGGAGCGCGCGAGGAAAGGCTAGCCCTGCAGCTGGCCGGGCGCGCAGCCAAACGCTCAGGGCAGGTACGGCGCCCCCCTGCACACCTTGGCGCACCGGCTTGCTTCTTGCAAAATCTCGGTCCTGCAGCCCAGAGCGACACTACCGCAAGGCTCCTTCCGTCTGTGCGTTCACCTGTCATACACTACTGGCCGAGATTCGATTCAGGCTGCACCCTGGAGAGCCCACCATGTGCCGAGCTCGTAGAGCAACAGGAACCAGAAGCAGCAGAGCGGTGTCCGCAGTCAGGAGATCTCTTTTGCTCTGCTAGAAGTGGTGGTCACTGGAAAGAGAGCGCCCATCCTGACCTTAGGACTTAATCAGTATCGTCCACTGTTCGTAACCAGCAGCTAGTACAGTGAGAGGCACAAGGCTTGTTTTCAGGTCGAGTAAGCTGGAATTAAAAAAAAAAAAAAAATACACGGGCGAGCGAGTGAAATAATCGATTACAGAAGACAACAATTTCCTATTCATTCATTCTCAGGTCTCCGGGTCCTTAAAGAAGCTTCAGCTGCCATCTCCAGTCTACACTGCAGTTTATGTAATCATCCAAGGAGCTTTATAATGGCCTTCCTTGAGTCAATTTCCTTGTTCAAGAGCCTCCCCGAAAGCAAGACCCTTCAAACCCTGCCCCCATCACAGAGTATCCCCCAGCTAAGGCAATCTGCCAAACACACTTGTCTCTTTCCACAGGCCTTGCTCTTTGCCACCTCCCTGAAGTCTGCTCCACTTCCAAGCTACTAAAACTGTCTTATTAATTTGTTTGTTTAAGAAATCGAGTCCCCGACGGAGCAATTAAGCAATGAGAAAAGGGGTGTAAGAGGAAAGGGCCTGAGTGAGTGGGAACAAAATGATAGCCAGAAAATACCAGACTTACTAAAGATACTGGCCTTCAAACCTCACACAGATCCCTGACCTGGCGGAGCGTCACTAGTGTTTGTTACCTTTACTTTGTGCTGACCAAACCAGAGAGAGCAACTGAAGTAGTGGGAAGGCCTCCTTTAGCTCACAGTCTGAGAAATTTAGTGCAGTCCTCGGCTTGGTTTTGTGCCTCTGGATGCTGCGCTGTAGGGAGAATATGGGAAATGGACTGACAGTTCACTTTCTAGCCTACCGGAAGCAGAGGGAAGAAAGAAGGAAAGGGACCAGAGAGAAGTGTCACATCTATGATGCATGGGCTGCCCTCATCCAGTTTCTAGAATCTTCCAAAACAGATCAGTTGTTCAACACACATACCTATAAGGGACATTTCTTATTCAGATTGTAATAACTCCTAAAAAAAAGTTACAGAGATGGTCACATGTCACATTTTTTACCTCAAAAACAAAAATGTACCCATTCCATTATTTATGTCTGGCTGTCTGGCACATAGTACATGCCCACAGGATTGTCACTGATCCAAAGAGAAAATAATCCAGAATGTTTTAAAAGTTATTGATGATAAACAAACATAAAACTCTTTGGTTAATTCATTAAATATATTCCAGGAACAAACTTTTTTTTTAGTGTAGTACACTTATTAAGCATTTTATTGATTACCTACAAAATAGAAAGCATAAATCAATTATAATGGTTTCCGATATATTAATTCATTTAACCCTCACAACAACAGATAGGGTGCTATGTTGAATATAAGAAGAAAATTTGTCAAAACTAGAAGTCAACAAGTAGAAGATGCAAAAATCAGAACCCTGGCAGTCAGTATTGACTTTCCTAAGCATCCTCCTGCACACACACGCGCACGCGCGCACACACACACACACACACACACACACACAATGTCTTGACCTACCTAAAAGCCTGTCAGTTACAGCAGTTCACAATGGGTCCAGATATTATCCTGGACATTGAAGAGCTGCACACAGCTTCACAGAGGTAGAAAGGATATCAATAAACACAGCATATTTTGATTTCAACCTCCACAAATAGTAGAAATAAAACTACTAGTTAACCAATGTATATATTCATATAATAAGGCATTTATTATCACAATTACTGTATCAAGGACATATGTCTGGAGAAAGGCTGGAACATTACTAACAGGCTGAAACAAAAGTTAACCAGGCATATGGATATCAATTAAAAAGGATGTGGAAAACAATGCAGTGTCGATCAGGGGAGGGAGCATGATCATTGTGATGCTCGGCTCTGATGGTGGATCCCACATATTGGTGAATAACCTGGGAAGTGAGTCTTAATGAAGAATCATGGAGATTTGGTTGGCCTGCGGGCAAGCCAGTGCCAGGGTTAACTGGGATGTGAAGATTCACCCCAGGGTAAGAGGATGATTTCACTCATGGAGATCTGAACTGCATGAAAAGGAGAGAGGTAGCCTAGCCAGGCCATGCTCTTTGCTTTTGACTGTGGATTCAATGCAATCAGTTCTTTCAGATTTCTGCCACTCACTTCACTAATATGATTGACTGTGACTTGGGACTGCCAACTGCATCTCTTTGTCTCCTAAGTTGCTTTTGTTGGGGTATTATCAGATGACAGCAACAGAAAAAAATAGACAGTCATCATTTTTCCCTTTAAATATATGGTTCATTTTCAAAACATAATAAAAATAAAAAATAAAAATTCAAATTATTCACCACATAGTGGATATTCAATGAGTAATTGTTTCCCGAGCAAATGAATGAATGCCTGAAAATTCAATTTTATTGCTGTTCAGTGCCTCATAGAGTTAGACATGCAAGAAATGCACAATGAATATCTTGTAGTTGACTGAGATATTTGTGGACATTCACCCCATTTCCCTCTTCTACTACTTCCTTCCTCCCTAACTTCATCTCTTCAGGCATCTCTAACTACCTTAGCAAAGCTATAAGGGACCTCTGGTTATATAGTCTTTTCAACCTCATCAGTTAGGGTACCATTACTAATATGGGATGATCAAAATCTCTAATGACCTCCAGTTTCAATGATCAGTCTTCCGTCTTCATCTTGCTTGACCACTTAAGCTGCATTAGACAAATCTGACCCCTTGATCTTTCACCCTCAGTCATGTTTGGTGCTAGTTTTCATTTGTCCCGGATTCTCCACTTTATGGACAGCTCTGTTAGATCTTTCTGTGTCTCTCTTTCTCTCTCTCTCTCTCTCTCTCTCTCTCTCTCTCTCTCTCTCTCTCTCTGTCTGTCTCTGTCTCTGTCTCTCTCTCTCAAAGCAGTTACAGTCCAGCTCAGTCTATGGAATTATTTTATTCCCTCTTGTAGGCATCTTATCCAGACACAAGCTTTCTAAAATATCTATATGATAATGACCTGCAAATTTAAATCTACAACCCAAACCACAGACGAAGCATACTGTTCTGCCTCCCTCATATCCATTCTCGATAGTTCATGTATATCTCAAACTTCACATATTCAGAACGAATCTCATTAAGGGCAGAGTCTCTGTAGCAAGACTGAATCCGATTCGGAATCCCATAACACATGACCACATTGCTTGTTTTTTTGTCTTACTTTCATGGTCTGCAAATGTGGGCAAGGTAGCGTGTTTACCATAATGCTCTTTTAAAAGTAAGCAGCACATGCAAATGAACTCTTGGAACTGCTATTGACATCAGAAATGCTTGTAAATCTGTGTTACTATTTTTTTTTTAATGAAATAGCATGAGGATGGGGCCCAGCTGAAAGTGTTAGACTATTTGCACAGAGTGCGTGGGGCCCTCGGTTCAATCTTCACTACTACTGGAGAAATACAGGCTACACCATCTTCAGCTCTCAAAGACTGCACAACTGGCCATCATGTTGGGCAGATCTCCAGAGTTCTTCCTGGAACCTGTCTAACCTGACGTGGCCCAACACCATGCTAGTTCTTAAATCTGTCACTGTGTGACCGCTGTGCCTACTCAAGCACATTGGCAGGCTCCCGTCCTCAGGACTTTGCTCCTTCTGATCTCTCTTCTTAGAATGCTTTTCCTTCATGGCATCCCTGTCGCTCACATCCTCCTGCACCAGTCAGCAGTTCAAAGAAACCTTTTCTTATACCCATGTGGAATACCTTCATTCTCTAGCTTAGCCACATTAGAATCTTTCTCGGCTTTGAGCACCTTTCTAACTGGAATGAAAGCTTGATGGGGGTGACAAGGAGGGGTGGGGCAGGCAATATGATGCGTCCCTAGCAGATAGGCATAAAACCAGAAACAACCCTCATTTAATAAGCCTGAAGTATAAATACAATCCCCAAACTTTCTCTTTTTTTCTAATATGTTATTATATTTATTTATTTATTCATTGTGTGTATGATTGTGTGTGAGTATGTATGTGTGTGTGAGTGTGTGTGTGAGTGTGTGTGTGTTTGTGTGTGTGTTTGTGTGTGTGTGTATGTGTGTGTGAGTGTGTGTGTGAGTGTGTGTGTGTTTGTGTGTGTGTTTGTGTGTGTGTATGTGTGTGTGAGTGTGTGTGTGTTTGTGTGTGTGTGTGTGTGCGTGTGTGTGTGAGTGTGGGGGTGTCGATGCTATAGCATAAGCACCTTCCCTAAGCCACCTGACTGGCTTCGGTCCAGAACTTCTATGGTTCAACTAAGGTCCAGGTTTATTATGTGACGAATGTCTTGTCCTCCTCTGTGTCACAGTTGTAGGATGCTAAGACAAGGGAGGAGGAGAAATAAACAGCAACTATCAGTCTGGGCTGCTTTCAAGGTGAAGAAAGTATCATGTGTAGACATGTTACTGTGAGCTTCCTCGTGAAGGTGAAGACAGGTCTGAGCTAAGGAGCTTTGGAAGATCTATAGACAAGAAAAAACAAGGCAGGCATGTCCCTTTCCATATTTATTGTGTTCCTGCTTTTTGTGTCTCTTGGTTCTTCCTGTCTCCTCTCAGTGTTACAAGCATTTTCTACCTGGATGAAGTTAGACAATGCTATTCTCTTCAGTCCCTGGCTCTTCTCCTTTGTTGCCTGTGTTCCTTATTAAAGCCACCCTACTCCCCTCAGCTTGGAACAGCTAAGGGTAGGAAAATCAGAAGACTAACTGACCGCACATTGAGGGAGAGGTTTCTATAAATTCAGCCCAGTCTTTTAAGAGATGTGTGCACATTTCTCTGAACGCAGACACATCGTTGCCAGAATTCAAGGTGGAGAAGGAATTGAACCAGGCCTGTACAGCAGGAGGCTCTCTCAACCTCATCCCTCAGCTTTCTCAGATCCTTGCAGCTGACCTGGAAAAGGGCCACAAGAACTTTGGCATCTTATCCGGAATTCCTTTCGTATGCACGTTGATGGGTTGTGAACCCACAGATGGAAGAGCATGAAGCTGTTAAAGATGAACCCTGCTGGACACTAGTGAAGGCAAGGGACCAGATTTCATGCGGTTAGCACTGAGAGTAGGAGAAAGACGTAAGTCTCATTCCTCTGTATACCAGAGGCAAACTGGACATTTTAAAGGACAGTGAAGGACAGGACAGCAGATGCTCAGAAGACACAGAGAAGCGAATAATTAAAAGATGCCAGTGTTTGGGGCCGGTGAGACAAATCAGGGGGAAAGGCAATGGCTGCCAAGCCTGACTACCTAAATTCAATCCCCAGGACCTGCAAGCAGGAGAAAAGAACTGTCTTCAACAGGCTGTCCTCCAACCTGCACACATGGGCCAGGGCACATGGGCAGCCACTCACATATACACGAAAGAAAGAAAGAAAGAAAGAAAGAAAGAAAGAAAGAAATCTAGAGAATGGTGGTTGCTGTGAGGTGAGTAGGTGGGTTATGATTATTTGAAGCAATTTCCGCCCTCTCATAGAGACGGCATGACAGGCTCCTTTCCAGATGGTTATATCCAAGAGGAATATTCCTAGGCCTTGAGAGGTAGAAGATTAACTCACAAGTGTCAGCATATTTAATAAGCAAATTTCAAAGTATTTGCTACACACTGACAAGACCAGTTGGCATACCAATGGGAATGGGGGTGGTTTTCCAAGACCCCAGCCTTGATGAAAAAGCTACAGGCAAGCAATTAATGGCTACTGAGAGAGATAGCATCAGCCTTCTCCAAGGATGAGCCCGATGGGTTATTCATTCCCAAGTGGTCAGCCCTAGACACGTACACATCGGTCAGCTCTTTTTAGCAAATATCTTAAGGGCATTTGGAGCCTCTCATCATAAACTGACTAGACAGACAAGTCAGTCTCCCAGGAACATAGAGATTTCTTGGACAAGCATTTTAATGGGGTCTGGAACAGCGTAAGGCTGCTGTTGGGCTGGTGTGGGCTATGCTAAGGTTTGATGGTGCCTATGTCTGCAGGCATGGGTAAAGCAATACACGCAGAGTGCTGCAATCCTCGGAGGCCAAAACGTACTATAGCATTCCAAGAGGAGTAGCAGAATGTCTCCTTGAGTTCCTGCTTCTGTGTTTATTTCTCCTTCCTTGAACACTAGTCTTCCAGGGATAACCCCTAGGATTGCCACAGCAGCCTCCCTGTCAGTGACAGGGTGGTAGTTAAAGGCAGGTTTTTCAGAAAAGGCTGAGTGATTCTGGCCTGGGCCCCCCTCCTCCCGTAAGCTTCAGGCTACTGTTAGAAAAGACCCAATTTTCTCACCTTGCCTTTCCCTTGCCTTTTCTCCTCCTAAACAGGAATGTTGAAGAAAGGTCAGGATTTTAATAAAGTCTTAGAGGGCGGTTATTATGCAGTGTTGATACTTCACTACAGAAGGAAATTTAAAGACCAGAACTTTGGCATGCAAAAAAAGGAAACGTCCCTATTATACTTTCAGCTTGGTCTTGTAAAACACATTTACCAGCTTCCAACCTCCAAAATTTAACCTCAATTAAAGTTGGAGTTTCCATATAGCAATTGTCACCGGTGTTATCCTATACATGAAACCATTACAGTAGTCTCTTAGGCAGACCCTATCTAAATTGCTCGCTATCTGGTGAAAAAAAGAACAGTCAGTGGCAGTGTAAGAGGGATGGCATTTCCTTGTTCTCGGCAACATGCAAGGCCAATGCCATTAAGCTGTGTTGTTTTCATGTGTATATCAGAGAGACTGAATGATCCTCCGGCAGAGAGCATTCAAATTATTCAACTACAGCAGAGGATTTCCACACAGTCCTATTGGAATCAGAAATTCCCTGTGGAATTCTTTCTCTGAGAGACTCGTTTTTTCTTTTTTTATGATTTGTTCAATCATTCATCCAAGCATTCGTTAAACGCTTGTGCTACGAGGAGACCGTGAACAGTGCTGAGAGGGGTTAGAGATGTTCATTATAGGCCAGCAGAGAGGCCGAGAAGACCCAGTGCCTCCCAGGACTGTAGAATGAGAGCAGGAAGCCATCTTGCCACTTCAAAGAGTGGCTGGAAGTGAGCATAAAACATTGCTTTGTAACACAAACGTCCCAATAAAGCCAAGGCCTCGCTTCAGTGGGTCTGTTCTCTGTTCACAGCAAATTCTTCAGCCCCAACTGCCCAGAACCACAGATTCTCTGAAATTTTACAAGCCAGGCTTCCATCATTTGCACTGTTCTCAATAATCTTGTCCTTCAGGCTGCCAAAACAGTCACCTAGGCTCTGCATATACGATGGCTGTCCCAGGCCAAATTTGCAAAACCCTACAGCAGTTTTCATTAAAACTACATGGTCAGGTCCCTCACAGCAACTTCCCACAAACCTGGTAAGAGTTTTTGTCTTATTTGAGGGTTTGTTTTATTTTGTTTTGTCTCTGTAGCTTTGTAGCTGTCATAAAAACAATATGACCAAAAGTAACTTGTGGAGGGATGGTTTATTTGAGCTTTTAATTTTCAAATTACACTCTATCTGAGGGAAATCAGGGCAGGAATTCAAAGCAGGAACCTTGAGGGAAAAGTGAAGCCAGAACCACGAAGGAGCTGTTCTTAACCAGCTTGCTTTCCATGACTTTCAAAGCTTGCTTTCTTACTCAACCCAGGACCACTTGCCTAGAGGTGACACCACCCTTAATCCCTATGGGCTGAGCCCACCTTCATCAATCATTAATCAAGAAAACACACAACAGACTTGCCTACGGACAATATGACGGAGGCATTTTCTCAGTAAACGTTCTTTCCAGAAAACTCTGTGTCAAGCTGATTAAAAGAAAAAGCATAATCTCTATACTTCATGTTGTTAAAAGGTAGGGGTAATTTCTCCTACCTATAGTGATGAGAAAATGGAATCACAGAAGTTAATTTACAGAATGTCACCTAGCTTGTTAACATTGAAACCAACAGTAAAATCCAAGGCTAACAGATACTCCCTTTACATCACCCTAGTGTGCAACAGAAAGCCGAAGCAAGCGTTCTAGGTATGCTTGATATGCTGAGGAAAGAAAACGTTCTCTGTTCAGAAAAGGTCAGGAAAAGGAACAGATATCACCGAATGGGATTGGACAGAGAGGTGGAATTGTGTGTGCAGGGATATGGCTAGGTATGGCAGCATTAATGTTATCTCAGCATTTGGGAGGTTGAGGCAGGAGAATTGCAAGTTCAGAGCTGACCTGTGTTCAGTGAGTTTGGGCTAGCCTTGGCTATTTAACATGCCACATCTCAAAAGGTAACAAGGGTATGGGAAAGATTGTGGATCAACAGGGAGAAAAAGGGACAGATGAATGTTAGTCTACCCAATCACTCCTTGCTATATAAACCCTGGAGATGCAACAGGATTTGCCTGAAATGTACAAGTCACAGTAGACTATTCCCTGTCAGCACCAAGGAAGCTGTTTTCTCATATCTTTGGGAAATGGGAAGGATTAATCAGGGTCAGTCTCTTGGCTTTAGCTGGAAAACATGTGAGAGGTAGTAGAAACAATGGCTGGGCAACTGTTCTTTTTTTTTTTCTTCAAATGCTTTTCAAGACAGGATCTCAATTCACAGAGATCTGCCTGCCTCTGCCTCCCAAGTGCTGGGATTAAAGGTGTGCGCCACCATGGCAACTATTGGTTCCTATTGGCTCCTACTATTCTTGATTGAGCTTTGGGAGAATTCAATCATCCTGTTGTTACTCTAATGGCAAGAATTGTGCTGGATTGACCTTGTGTGCCAGAAGTTTGCTTGACATGAAAAAAGGTTTGAGGGGGATAATGCCTACTGAGAGAGAGGTGGTCCTTAAATGTTGTGGGTTCACCTTTATGATGTAAGAATTTTTTCAGTTTTATAGATAAGAATTATGAGGCCAAGAGAGGTAATGCAGACATCCCAATATCATAGAGCGGAGATAGTTTTAAAATCTAACTCAAGAACTTACCAATATTTTCTGCTCTGCCTTGTTCAAATTGTCAAGCTAAAGCAATTTTGTGCTGCTAATTTTCATTGCTTTAAATAACATTTTAAAGTACAAAACAAAGACAACCAAACAAAGACATAGTGATAAGCCTTGGCAAAGTAAACTCAGTCACGTGAAGAGAACCTGTGTCAAACAGACTATTACATAAATGACTCAATTTTCATGTCGATACAATATATGGTGCGATATGTAATTTTACCTAGTATAATAACACCTTCATTTTAGGTGGTACAAAACATTTCTCCTTATAGTTCTTATTATGAACATGCTATTTCTGGCAATTCATGAGCAACCTGAGTCGTAGCTTGCATGGAAAATGAGCTAATTGGTGAATGATGCCTTCCCTTGGGGGAACATGTGTGCTCCCTCAGGTGTGAAGTTGTCTCATTAAGTACCTGCACTAGAGACATACCTGCAGATGACAGGATCTGAGGAAACTCTCGCTGCTTCTGAATCCCCAACAGCAAAAAGAGAAGCCAGCAGAGCGACTTCCACATGCGATTTTCACAGCCATCTATAATTAGCGCACTGTTGGGTTGTGTCTTTAGGATTGGTACCTGTTGAAGTCAAAACAGTTGGTAACTTAGATATACACAGAGCCCCAGAAAAGTTGAGTAGAGCTGGTGCTGCTGAGAGTAGAGGGGAGCAAGGTGCATGAGTCCTGACTAGGGTTAGCTGCTCATTCTTGTCTGTTCTTGACAGAATCACCCTGCTTTGGGAGTATCTGGGTCACCAGCGGGAAGGACTCAGGAACTCTTATTATTGCCCCAGAGTAGTTAACCACTCATATTAATCTCTCAAATCACATAGAATGCTGAAATTTTATTGTATTCTATTGTTTTGTAGAGTTTGTTTTATTCTTAATAATTAGAGAGGTACAAAGTTAGGTAAGCATATTGGTGCTAGCCTGTAATTCTGCCGCTAGTGAAATGGACATAGGGGGATCAAAAATTAAATAATTAAGTAATAATAGTAATAA